GCCATACTCATTCATTTACTTACTGACTGTGGCTACTCCTGCTACAGTAGCAGAACTGAGTAGTTGCATCACTTGGTAGACTGCATGGCCCACAGAACCTAAATATTTGCTCCCTGGACCTTCACAGGCAAAAGTTTGCTGACTCTTGCTCTATAGCATACTACTTTCAGAATAATTGAGGTATGTTCTAGGCATATTTCCAGTGCTTTAGAGTTAATGGTGTTCTTTTAATAAAATTATACTCAACTGAGGAATAAACTGAGTGGTTTCTGTAATAATTGTTCTTTGGATATAAAACAGAGTTGTCAAGGGAATAATAAAATTGTAGACCCCTTTAAGAAATCTATAATCAGAATTCTTACCAGTATAATCAGCCATCTGAATTTTTGTCAGTATTAACAAAACTGTTTCATTTGGAAAGGAAAATTCCTTTGAATGCGTAGCAGGTATCATGTCCTATTTTGTGCTTGGCCTTTGGATTTATAGAAATTTCCCTAGCCTCAGAGAAATATGTGTCAAGTTGAACCAAGTCAGATATAAACAAAGAAATTGGGAAAAATTGGCCTGGACCATAGAAATACAACAGATTGGAAAAAATACGTTTTGTGTTGAGTAAATTATTTTAGTTTATTAGCATGGTAACCGTACTTCATATTACTTCAGTCATGTTTCTGAATAATGAATGTGCTTTACTTTTCATTATTTTGGTAAGATATGAAATATTGAGGCCAGATAGGATCACATTCTGCCCTGTCAAATGTAAGACCTTCACTTGTCCCTCCTGGCTGCCCTCTCCCAGGTAGCTGCTCTGCTCTCCCTTTGAGCTGCTCCTGTCTTGTGAAGTCCTCTCTTGCCTCCCGGTTCTCTTTCTTCCAGTTTGTTCTCCCAGATCTGCCTTCCCGAAGCACAACCCCGTGGCTCCCCTGCTCAGCACTCCGCTCCTGTTCTCTGCAGCCTGCCCAGTGGAAGCTGGTCTCTCCCCGGCATTTAAGATCTTCCACGCTGTTCCAAACCTCCTCTCTGGCTTTCTTTCCTCCACTCACCTTTGTTGTACCCTAGACTCTTGGTACTACAACTACTGTCTACACGTTCCTGTCTCTCAATTTTCATACACTTTCCTTCACTGTTTGAAATTTCCTTTATCCATTTCTGCTTTTCTGTTTCTTGCCTGAATCTACTTATGTTTCAAATGCCTACTCTTTTGAGCTACTTCCTCTGATCTGCTTCCTACCCAACTCACAAACTTGAAGCCAGAATTAGTATTTTTATGCCACGAACATCCATAGCACATTTTCCCTCTCCCTTTTTTTCATTTATCTTTATTGTTGAAAGTGTTACAGATGTCCGCCTTTCCCTCCACCCCCAAGAAAGCCACAGTAGTTGCCAGGTGGAAGTGACTGGAGTTTGACTTTCATCTTCAGGAAGTTACCCCAGCACAGCCTGTTGCCATGAATTCTGTTGAGTTGTAGCACTAAAGCAGTATTCTCCAGTGACTTAGGCACAGTACAGAAACTCTCAGAGTACTTGGGATTCTCACAGAGAGAGAAAAAGCAATTTCTCATCTAAACATGCTGACAGTGGAAAAAGGCAAAATAATGATCTTTCCACCAAGGTATTTAGTGGATACAGGAGACAAAGTCAGCAGGATCATGAAGGAAGTTTTTATGCCATGTCTTGGGCTACGGTTTTCTGGGAAGGCAATGTAGGATGTTTAACCCTAAATTAAGACCAGTCCTTCACAGAAATGAAGCAAGCATCGAGTCAAAGTCATAGGCCACATAAGATATAGAAAAGAGTCAAAACTGTCTTGTCTCTTGTTTTGGTGAAGTGGACTGTGCTATGTAGACTGCTAACTTTGTAAACGACTGTCTGGTTATTCTGGTTGTCTTTACTGCCTTTACCATTTTAAGAATCTTTCCTTTAGTGTTTTATAGAATGCGGGGGTTTGCTTTATCTTGTATCCAGTTTACATTCTGTGCATTAACTTAGTAGCTGCACAGGACAGTCTGGTCTTTAGCTGATACATCCTGTGCTCGGAGAGGCTTGAATAGGAAAGGAGTAGAATGTGTGGGGAGTGTGCTGGGCAAGAATACGGTGTATAATGGGCAGAATTCAGGCTGTGGGAGGATGAGTCACAGGACTTACAGGAAGAATTCTGTTGCAAAGATAAAGGATTATTTGCTTCCTGAATGAACCATTCAGAAGGAGCCATTGCCAGATCACTGAACTCCCCCGATGAGATTTTGCAGATATTCCTGTCGGAGCACTGGTTGGTGTAGGAGACTTTGTTCGAGTCAACCTTTCCAACCTTTACGACTTTTAGTCTGTTAATAGCTTAGAAGGAGGGTGTCAGGGCCTTTTTGATCTGCAAAAGATAACGTTATTTTAGAACATGATTTTTTGTGTGTGTGTTGATAAAAACCAGGTATACTTTTTGTTTACACATCAATTTTTGTTATAATTTTAAAAGGAAACAACCTCTTCCCTTCTCTGAGTTTATTTCTTAACGAGAGCTTTAAGAATTTATCTGCAATGTGTGTTGTCACAACGTGTAATCAGACTTGAACTTTATAAGCTTAGTACCTTTGGACTTCTGCCTGCATGCAGTTGACGTGCAAGGTAAAACAAGACCCGGGACAGTTTCTTAATTGAAATAAAGTTTAGTTGCCACTTGGTTAATTCCTGGTTTTTAAATAAAACAATGTATTAGTCACCTGGAAGTGTGGAACTTAAGTGTGATTATATAAATCTTTCTGCCCTGATCAAGTGTTTCAAGCTGAATTAAAATGAATACTCCTAATGTTTCTGGCTTCAGGCACTGTCAGGGATGATTGGTTATATCTGAACCATCACATATTGATGGAGCGGTAATCTTTCATGTCAGCCTCCCTGAAGGCTCTCGCAGGGACTCCGCTTTACCATGGTTGTCTTTTTGAAAGGTGCACAGAAGGTCCATACGAGTGTTAATTATAGTCTCAGAACAAGCCCAAACCCTTAACCTTGGCATTGCATCCACACGGTGTGAAAACACACACTTTTGTGCAAAATGGACAATAGTAGATTCATTTCTTACAAAGTAGGTATAAGCCAAGCCTTGTAAATTTCACGTTGTAACCCTCACACCTTGGTGTGCAGGGAAGTGAGGCCTGGTTCCTGGTTCTCAGAGCCCACACAGTCTGGTAGGGGAAATGGGAGGTATAAAACACGTCCAACCAGGGCCACCTCACACCAGTAGAATTGACCAAAGTACCAACTGGCATGAGAAGATGCCTCTTTCCAGCTGGGAAGATCAAGGAGGGAGTTGAGAGCTGTGGTTTTGAGCTGGATTTTGAAGCATGTGTAGGCACAGACTGCAGGGGAGGGATGGCAGAAGTGGAAGGGTGCTTCTTGGGCCAGTGTCTGGTTTACATGGGCTGGAGACAGGCCACGCCTTGCGGTGATGGGGAAGGGGAGCTCCGTAGGGGTGGCTGGCTGTGGTCTCCCTGCCTTCGCCCTCTCCTCTGCTGCTGGACTGGGGAAGTCGAGGCGGGAAGGAAGCCTTGCTCTTACCCCATGGTCCTCTACCCTCCACCTTCCCACTTGCCACCATAGGATAGTAAGAAGTTGTGGAAGACTCAGGGGGAGGAAGAGGGGTGGGAGTAGGAAAAGAACTGAAGTTTAGCACAGGGGATTCTTTACCCCATTTTTCTTTAATTTTCCTTTTTTAGTATTCTCTGCTTTTCCAAAACTTGGCAGAGTCCATTATAGGTGAGAGCAGGGAAAAAGGGGAGTTTCTGTAGCTGACCACTCGTATTCCTTCTGCCTATAATTATGTGGGATTAAAGAGCATAGATTGAGAAGTGTTTGCAGAGAATAAACAGAGCTAATGCTGAGCATACAAACATAATCTCGATGGACCCTAACCTTAGTTCTTCTATGTCATCATCATAGTCACCAGTTAAATTTTATTTAAGACTCACAAGATGCACGGGCTTGTCTTACAACATAGTAGAGATTAAGAAACAATTTTTTTTGTAGAGGTGGAGGGGGTTTAGAGCAAACTTTTCTTTTTTCTTTGTGTTTTTTTTGCAGAAAAATGCTGCTTAAAGGAGCATTCACGGCATAGGATGTTGGGTAGACATAAATCTTTTGCGCTTTCATTGAGTCATGATCTTTCAGGATCTATGCGTACATTTACTTTTTCCTTCCCCATAAGTATAAAAACTAAAACAAAACAGCAGAAGAATAAGCTTGAAACATAATCAGACCCAAGGAGCAGTTTTGCAGGCCTCCTTGTTAGTAAGCACACCTGCTAGAGGCTCGAAGGAAAAGCTGCTGACACATTTCAGGACCGGAGAGGAACCAATTTAGCTTCCACTCTGGGTTCCTTGTCAGGTTTTCTTCTCCTTTTTCCTTAAATTGAACATATTATATCTTCTCATGAAATACCGTTTCTTTGCCTTCTGAGAAACTCTGACAAGTTGAAAACTATTCTTTGATAGTATGATCAGCTCTCTCTGCTACAGGACTGTCCTAAGAGTTTGGTGACCGTTCTACTCTCTTAGGACTAATTCGAGACTGTTAATGGGTCTTCATCGAGGCCCTGGCATTGCACATCAGTCTGCATATGTGATGAAACCATTTCATACTTACTATTTTTAAAAACTGAGGGGGGAAAAAGAAAAAAACACCAAAAAACCCCTGAGGTTTACATTGAGTTGGAGGGTTAAATATATTTCTGGAAAAGATACTTGGGCCCTTTTAGACTGTATTTGCTGTATAAATTGAGAGTTTTCGTACTCCAAACTCTGAGATGTAAATGATGGACCGTTGGTCGTTGCCGAGGAACACAATGGTTAAATCTTTGAGATTACGTAAGATTGAGCAAAGGAGGTGAAAAGCTGAGACACCATCCCTTAGGAACTTCTCCCTCAGAAGATAAGCCAGAAGGAAGTTTCTGATTGGGCAGAGGCAGTCCCCGCAAGAGGCTCAGGAAAGTTCTGTGCCAAGGTACTACATGACTGTAATCTCTTTTTCAGCTCCTGCCCCTCGCTGAAAACAGCCAGAGAAGGAAATCAAGGAGCCACTCCTGTAATTACCAGATAAGCCCAGCAGGGTCAATAGAGTTCCAGGAAAGAGCTGCAGGCGTCTGAGGATAAACCACTTCAAACAGCTTTAACCTGAGCGTCACCTGGAAGACGGATTCCCGGTTACAAGGTGAGGTAGGAGGACGCCAGCTTAAAATCAAAAGCAGGGTTAGACTTCCCCAGGCGTTGCTTAATAACAGCAAGAGATTAGTGAAACATTACCAAATCACAGGAGGGTGTTTCTTTATACCTTTTATGTGTATATCAGATCTAAAAAAAGTAGTAATCTTGGTTATATTTAGCCATCTTAATAAGTTCTGCTGTAATTTTTTTAAGGATAGGAAGTAGAAAAACATGCCAAAGGATTTATTAACCTAGTTCTACTTACAGCCTGGCATCATGTGGAAATAAGACATTCCCCTTCCCTTCTTGAGTAACGAACCCACAGACCAAAGCTAGAAATGCTTTCATCATATATTTAGATGCACACAAGCCCACATGCGCACGCATACATACATTCTTAAAATGCACCCATTTTTATAATCTTTCAAAGTGAACAGGTAGACAGTTGCTTGTTTCCTTTTTGCCCATGAGACTGAAATAACTAATATGATACCAGCAATGCATAGGGTACTATAGGCTCCTTGTCATCTTTGATATTTGCAGTTACTGTTTTCAGAGCCATGCCACATATGCTATTTGACATCTTAGGCTAAGTGACTTCTGTCTCCACAATTTGGACTTATCCCTCCCAGTTATACAAAGCTTTTGGGGAGTGTGTGCTACTAGAGCTCATGGAGAGCTTTTGCAAGCTGTATACCCTCTACTCAAACTCTTATTTGCCCTGGGACACAGGGTTGATGGTGGTGGTGGCAGTGATAGTTTTGGACCGTCTATAATTTGGGAAATGCTCCCCAGGTATTCCAACACCACTCCTCCCCTCTCCTTGCATGGACTGGCCCCTCTTGGAAGGTCAGAAACCAAGACTCGGTGATTTAGTGTAATTATTGTTATGTGAGAAGCCTTCTGTTTATTACTGCATTAGTTAAAATTACATTTTAGAGCAGAGCTTGCAAATTAGTGGCCCACAGGGCAAATTTTAGACTGTAATTTAAAACTGAATTAATTGCCAATGTTATTGGACAGTCTGAAAACTTGAGAGAGAAAATCAGATACCTGGCTTCTTTTGGAAGATTAAAAAATCTGGTCTTGTTACAAGTCCAGGGACTGAAGTTTCCTAATCTTTATCATTCCCTGAGTAGCAAACCCAACCAGCCTTACAGATTTATGTCACCTGCCTGACACCTGTAAGTTTTTGCAGTCAAGATTCCTGCTTTAAGCATCAGTTTCTTCTCTGTAAATGTGAAGTCACTCCCATGTACTTTACACATAATACTGTTAGTCTTTATTCCCTTTAGCATTTTACTATTTTATATAAAATGCATATACTTTGAGAGTGCTGGCTTTCAGGACTTAAGCTGATACTTGCCAGACGTGCCTGTGAAGAAGGAAGACTCTTCCAAAGTCAAATGGTCCATTGTTCTTAGTTTGGAAATCGGATTTGATAGTAATGGAGTGTGAATCATTCTTTCCAGACCTCCAGGTGGTCAGCTCAGAGCCTGAAATGTCATGACTAATGCTTCCATTGCCTGATACAACTATTTTGGTCCCACGGAGATAAAGCGGATTCATTGAGTTGGCTTCTTTGAATGACACTTGTAGGGATTTAGAGTCCATTTTCTAGCCCTTTACTCATTCTGGACACCAGAGTGAGTCAGTGAATAACATGCTGTGCCATCTACATGGGCAGAACTTTTGACATTGAGAAGTCTCTCCATCAGAATCAGATGTACCTCCAAGCACAGTGGGTCGTAGTTAATCATAAAACATCTCCTTCCCCATCTTTAATCACTATGTATTATTGGGAACTGAACTACTTACAGTAATGTTCCTGTCAATTTGATACTGAATCAAACTTTTATATAGTAACAAAGAGCTTTAGTCATGAAAGCATTTCAAATTACAGGGTCCTTACTGGCATAGCATTTCTCTGTCTGCATTAGCTAAACTCAAACATTAATTATTGGATTGTAGTTTACAAAAAGCTGACTCCATCTCAAAACAGCAGTTCTTATCCCAACAACCCATTTAACTTCAAACAGGTAGTGCCTGTTATTCAAGCAGATTTCAGACCTCAGGATATCCGTTTTTAATGTTGAAGCTTATAAGAAAGAAGGCGGCTGGGTTGCATGTTTGTTTTAGGAGTTTGCTGTCGTTCTGGCTGCATTCCTTTGCTCTATCTCATGGAATCTCTTAGGTCAGTATTGCCTAGGATCTCTTGATACTGGACTGCACATAGAGATGAGACATGTGTGAGTCCCTTTGACTCTCAGGCTTAAGTTCATGGAAATAAAGTAACTGGAAATTTGTTCCCACACATTTGCATGGCTGTGACTTGACTGAGAAAGACAGTCAGCTCTTCTTTAAAAGGAAAAAGCAAGTGACCGGTATCTCATTTCCTTAAGGAAATGTGTTTTACATTTATTATTCTGTCGTCATAGGAATCAGTTGGTATGCACGTGCGCCCAGAAATGCTTTCAGGCAGCCTCTTTATCTTTTCTCCTCGGAGGTCCTGTTATCAGCTTCCCATTCCATTTCACTTAGCTCCCTGAGAAAAGATAAGCAGCTCTGAAAGCGGAGAGGGCTTGGGAGCCGCACTGACACAGAAGAAAGGGAAATGTGGTGAGAAAGAGCAGTTCAGAAAGTCAGGCTCTGGGTCCGCAGCCAGGCCGGGTCCCGCAGAGACAGGAGAGGAGCTGGAGCCCAGCGTGCGGGAGGCCGGTGCTGACAGTCCCTCTATCTGCTTAGAGGCCCAGGAGCCGGCCCCCAGGCCGCGGGAGGGAGCGCGGGTGCCGGAGCTGGCCCTGCACAGGCCGCTTTGCCCGCCCCTGCCC